TTAATATCATCTTGCTTTGAAGTCCAATCATACTTTTGTTCTTTAGTCTCAACATGTTATATCCTATTGGATTTTATTATATGTAATAATATAAACAAAAACTTGTCATTGTCCTGGTTTTACATTGTCTTGATATGTTTGATGCTACAGTATACGAAGCTGTACTCTAATATTTCAAGGAAAGAGACACTATGGTAACTACTTTTATGCCGGGATATCTTCTGGTGAAACACTATGTTGCTTAAATTGTTATATTCTGACCTGTGCTGTTTTGTTGTTATGTCCTCTTTTATCTCAATCTCCTTTATTATTTCTTAAATCTTTTTAATTAAGGGAAAAATAAATAAAAAATAGCAGGATATATTATAGTAACCCACTTTGTTTTCCTACTAACTTGATTTGAAACTCTTATTGGTCTCACCATCTTGTTTTGACTGATTTTACTCTATTCTGTTTTGCTTGATAGCACCAAGTTTGAGAGTATAGGCAACAACTTTGAAGACAATAAGATTCACTATGATGCCCATTCTGGTTTGACTATTATCTTCTTTTGAAGTCCTGTAATGTCTCCAGTGTTTTGGTTTTATTGGTTTTGTTCTTTACTGTTTTGTTCAATTTTATTATAACTGATGATATAGGCAATTCTTTTTAAGATAGCAAGAGGCATTATGGTAACCATTGTTAATCACCTTGTATTCTGTTTTTACATTATGTACTATGTCTATCCTTTTAATTTGACTGACTCTGCTTTGTTATGTCACATTTGGTTTTATTTTCTTCAAAAAGAAAAATAATAAGAACTGTGGGAGTAAGAAAACCCAAAATGTGTAATTGTCATTGTAAAAAAGAGAGGAAAAAAAAGTGCTCTCAATAACTGCATGTATATTTAAGCGTATAAGATAGATAACCATATTACTGAGTTTTTGTTGGATCATTGAACAGAACTGTTTGCAGTCTCGCTGTTTGAATATCTACTTTATATGCTTTAATTTTGTAACTTGAACAAGTATTTCTAAGATGACAATATGTAATCTAATAATTTCCTACTGTTTTTTTGAAATTCTGTATTACTTGTATCCTTTTTCTGTTTTTTTCTTTTTCTCCTTAAATAAAATTCAAAAAATAATTCTAGACTAATCATTCTCAAAGTGAAAATGCAGACCAAGTGACCAGAATCTCCCTTAACAATGTAGATTTTCACACAATAGTTAATGGACTGAGGGCCAAGATTCCATATTTCAAACAGCCTGCCAAGTCATGTTGCTGCTGCTGCAGGCCCATGAACCACTTTTGGTAGCAAAGGGTATTTTCTTCTTTTGCACCAAGTGGTGCCTCAGAAGAGAAGACCAACCTCAGCAAGATGGTGATGAAATACTGGGCCAATTTTGCTCGAGATGGGTAAGATTAATGTAAAGATGGAGCAGGATTGGTGGGCAGATTGGGAAGGAGTGGTTTCTAATCTCTGTGACCCTGAGACCCTGTGCTCTGACAGTGAGCATACAGGGTATGCAAGGAAATATAGAGGTCTCCATATGATGAGGCCTTTGATACTCTTGGCAGAGATAAATCAAGGGATCCCTGCAAATCTCAGAGAACTGTTGCAGTGACACACAGCAGTCCAGGAACCCCAATTCAGAAGGACTGCCTCATTGGCCAGAGTACCAACCACGGAGAGGAAAGTTACCTACAGAATAGTGCCACTACCAAAGCTTCTCAGAGGCTGAAAGTCAGGGAAGTAACTTTCTGGATGGAACTCAGGGCCAAAGATGCATTGAAAATACACCAAAGAGAACACACTGAGCTCTGAACATTGTGCTGGCCTTTAAAATCGGTGGAGCTAAACAGTTGTATTCTGTAGAAGATGCTTGTTAGCTATAGGGATATCTTATGTAGAGGCTGGACTATGGTTGGAGTAAGCAAAGGCTATAGAGGAATAACAAAAAATAAATGTACTTTGGGAGGTGAAATCAGTGTTTATGTTTTGGACTGGAATTGAATCCTTTCTGCTCCTACAGAGGATAGTATCACAGGCACCATGTGGAAGATACATCCGCAGAGGTGATTTGGTGAATGATTACCCTGAAATATGAATGAACACTAGCTTACCTTCCAACCACAGGTCATCATATATGTGAGTTGAATGACTCTGAAAGATTTACACAAGAGCTAAAGGCCAAATGTGAGTCAGTGTTCATCTATAAATCATTTTCTTTCTTGTTCCTTTATCCACTCAGCAACTCTGCCTTTTAGTTGGAGAATTAAATTTCTTTACATTGAGTTAATTATTGATAGGTTAGGTCTCATTATAGCATAACATAAGTTGTTTCCTAGTTTTGTTGTACTTATTTTTTTTTTTTTTGTCCTTCTTGTATAGTCTTTCTTGGTGGATAAATGAATTACTTTAGTACTGTAGTGAATTTTGATTCCTTATTATTTTTGGCTTGTCTGTTATAGATTTTTGCTCTGTGCTTACCATATGGCTTACAAAGTTAATCTTTGATTATAACAAGCCATCCCAAGGTGATAATAACTTATTACGCTATTAAAAATAAGAAAATGATCAACACCATTTCAAGAGGAGGACACACTGCATCAGACCCCTCCAAGGCTGGTATTGATGTGGCTGAGAGGCAGCCCTGTCCCACTGCTGCACAGGTTTCTGCCTGATGCTTGAGTCAATGCAGGCTCTGTCTGTGAGCTTTAGCTTTCATGGTGGCTTTCCCTTGAAAAAGGATGCTGGGTCTCATTCTGCATTCTGAGACAAAGTCTTGTACTAGATTCCATGCCTTTCTCTGTATCACGTATAATCTTGCTTCTTGGTCTACCATCACCCAACTTGGAGAAGCAGCAGAGGCAGTCTGGTTCCATGTTTTTCCAGACTCCTTCCCTAGGTTTTGCCCTAGTGGTAGGGGTCATAGGACTTTACCCAGTACTGGATTTTACTGAGCAGAACTGGTACTAGGCTTGAAGACTAAGGTCTGAACATAGTATATCTGGGACAAATGTAGGCTTCATTGCCTTCTAATACTGAAGCAGTGATAACACATCTGGCCTGGTACATCATCCAGTGAAAGGAACACAAACTCGGAAAAAATAAGCAGCTTTGTTATAATTGTTGGAAAGTTGGGCAAAATAAACCAGATTACAAAAATTTGAAAAAAGACCTGGTTCTTCAATGTTCAGGTGATGTCACATTCCAACAAGCATCAAGAGCTTTCAAAACAATATGACCTCACTCAGTCCTCAGAAAAGGGATCAGACTAACCTGGAAATAATCTGAATGGGAGGACTCTCAGATAAACAGTGGTTTTAAGGAAATTCAATGAATTTGAATCTATTACCTCTTCAAGCAGGAGATATCTCTTGCCCTGGGGTACTTAGAGTTCAAGTGAGGGAGATGGTACTGACAGTCCTTCCTTGCTGCCTTCTTTATTGTGTCTACTCCTTTTCTTAAGTAAAGCAGGTGCTGTGCTCTGCCATCGCATCTCCTTAGTCCATGTGCTGAAGTTTGATGCATAAATAGCTATCCAATCTGGTGTATCCACAGGGAGAGATCATCAAAGGATGTTAGTTATTATCTTGACTGCCAATTTAAAAATATTATTTATGGCATCAAAATTGTCTGAAGAAGATGCATAATGACAAAACCAGGCTTTTAAAAATTCTTCTTCTTAAACTTTAAAAGCTCATTTTCCTAAAGAGCCCCACATCACTTCAGGCTCAGTTAGTAACATAAATATATATCATATTTCACACTCCCCTTCTACCTTCTCATCATTGCAATTACCTAAAATATACAATCACCATCTCATAAAATAAAGAATTTAGTATGTTTTCAGAGAGTCTTTTTTTCCCTCAAAAATTTTTAGACTTGACTCATTAAATCAGATGAAACATAGCTCTAGAGATGAACATCAGTCTTCACTTGTTCAAGTCCCAGGGTGCTGCAGTGGCTCCTGGATAGCTGGAGATGAGATTTTTGGAATTTGTTAACAAATAGTTAAATTCAAAACCAATGCCAAATAAGTCGTAACCTTTTTCTAAAATTGTATAAATTACATAATACAGACATGATGATTACATTTACCACGGACGGTTGCTGACATAACACATCCTAATTCTTTTTATTCTTTTCCTTTTCTTTCCCTTTCCCTTCCCTCCATATTTTGCCCCTCTTCCCTTTAGCAAAAGATCAATTTCCCTGTTTCTTATTGTCTTTGAATTTGCTCTGTATTTATACTTTGAAATTGTCATGTAAGACAAACAATGTAACATTTAAGCTTGTGTGCCTGATTTACTTATGCTGTAACTTTACTCTTTAACTTCTGAAACAAGAAAAATGTGTTATTAAGGATTGAAAAGACTAAATTCAAGAACAACATAGGTCAAAGCCAACAGCTTTGCCTTTTGCAGCTTTCCTGCCCAAGATGAGGTGTTAATAAACAGTTGAAGAATGAAGAGATAAACGGATGGGTCAAAGATTACAACCAAGAATCAGAGAGAAATGGAGTTCATTAGCTGTAAAAACATTCTGTTCAAAAGCCCTTGCCCAGAAAGTTAATAACTGCTGTGGTCCTAAAATTTTGCAGCTGCAGGCAGGGTCATGTGGTGAGAATATATCAAACTAATTTACACATGAGAAAGGGATTAGATGAATATGACTTTGCTTGCAAACACCAGAACTTTGAACTCCAGAAACTAATAGCCCAGGGAAGTAAAAAGACATAAGTTTCCCAGATGAATTCCTCTGGGATTCTGAGGTACTCTAAAATTGTCTAGCTTGTTCTAAGGACCCCTACTGGCCTGAAGGTGCCATGTGCTAGTACCTTTCAGAAACACAGTGCACTGAGGTTAGACTGTTACATGAGAGACTCTTATGTAAGAAGTTGTTGGATGAGTTTCTGGTTTAAGTAATCAGAGAGCTAAATACAGACTATTCAAATAGCACAAGTTAAACTCTGGTTGGGCGTGGCTTGGAGGTCTCAGCGGACATCCAGGGACGGTTTTAAAAGAGGGAAAATTTTCGTGTCATTTTAGATCATGCAACTGGTTTGGCAGGATTTGGAGGTGGGTCTCAGGCTCTAGGGGAGGAACCAGTACACTCCCTGGGAGAAGCTTGGAGACCGACTGGCTCCAGTGCTGCTGCCCTTCCAAGATGTGGGTCTATGCTCTGGCCTTCACTTTTTTCAGCACCTTCCCAGTTCAGGGTAAGTCCTTCTGAAACACAAATATGAGGAGGTACATCTGGAAATTCTAGTCTTTGGAGGTAAGCAGAAAAGAATACAAAGGGCAAGGTTATGACAAAGTGCAGTAGCTCACTGTTTGGACTTGGACTTGGAACAGCTGAGTCTAGCTGTTTTGAGTGATTTAAAGTTATAGAGGAGAAGTAATTGGCTGCAGCTCTCCTGTGCAAGACAGCAATGAGATAACCTTATCGCTTACCTGTGAGGAATTAGGAAAGCTCAGTTTATTCTCCTGTTCATTATTAGCCCAATCATGGAGGGTTCTTAGAAGAATAAAAGCATCCGTTCGGGAATAAAAGTTATATGCTTTCAAACTATGTGTTCTAGGGAAATGGGTCTTCCTAGCTATGAAAGCCTGCTTCTGGTTGATTCAGGTTGGTGAATGGTGGGCCAAAATATGAAGCACTAATAGAGGAGTTGTTTGATGTGTAGGCACTGAACGGCTTGAATGGGCAATAGTTTTTCTAATCAGCAGAACCTCATAGATCAAAGTACCAGATACACAAAAAAAAAAAATGATTAAAATTGGCATTGATTCAGTGTAGCATTTTTTGAGATGTGTAAGACACTAGAATAAACATCTGGTACATAATAATTGCTCAGTATGTGCACATTGCATGTAACCTAAGTGGTGACTGCTGTTACTGTTACATTCCTCTCATACCACCCACATTTTCATCGCCCTGCAGTCTGGCTTCTATCCATGTCATCTGGCTGGAAAGTTAGTCCTGAGCTACTGCAGTCTACACCCAGACATCTGTGCTCACATTTTACCACCCTGATCTTTTTAAAACACTCTGCACTCCTGCCAGCCTCTTTTCCATTTCTCCCTGGGCTGCCCTGCTGTCATGTCCCTCTCCTGCTTCCTTTCTGGTGCTTGCACTCAGTCTCAGCTGTAGCTGTCTCTGTGCTTTATTCTCAGCGGGTTCTCTTTCACACATGGATTTGCAGTGCAGTCACACACACCCATGTGGTGCACACTCACCTTCAGGTGGATGGCTCTACCTCTAGTCTTATGTTGGTCTTGCCCTGTAAACTTTTCTTACCAGGATGCTGACTCTCCTACTGAACCTGGCTAACATGGACCCAGCATCAGATACCTGTTCTTCAGTCTCCTCTTTTCCCTTTTACAGGCCAACATCCAAGTCCTCTTCTCTAATTCTTCACCTACATCTCCATAAACTTTATTTTTCTCTTGCTTACAAGAGGTATCTGTATTCATTGTAGAAGGCTGAGAAAACACAAAGGAGCAAAGGCCGTTACAAATGCTGCCACCCATGACTATCTCAATGTACTTGTTTCTACGAAGTGCTTCTTGATGTGAGTGGTAATGATTAACAATAGGGAGAAAAAGGAAACAAGCCTACAATTTCCTCTTAATAACATGAAACATGGACCTGGATTTCTTTATCCTGACTTCCAAATAGGGCATTTCTAGTGCTGTTGGCTATTTCTCTTCCTACGCAGATACTCCTTACTTATAATATGATTATGTTCTGATAAATTCAGTATCCTAAAGTCAAGAAACCGAAGTCAAAAGAGCATTAAATGAAAACAACTTAAGTGTGGATCATTTGTATATGTCTCCCAGAAAGTTGATCGTGGTGTAATTGGTAGTAATTAGCAACAACAAAAGTAATATAAATGTCAACGGTATGGGACTGGATACTTCAGGACCGGAGGTGATCAAGGGTCCAAATCAACTTGCTTCAGGAAGTCAGATGGGGCATAAAGTAAGACGGTAGAACAAACACACAGAGGATCAGAGACAGCAACACACAGAGCCTGGCTGCAATAAGGTTAGTGACTTACAACACCACTAGATGGAGTCCGTGACTTGGAGTCCTAAACCACCTAGTTTATCATTTCTAAGGCTCCAGAGTGCTCCCAGTGTCAGCTGCAACTGCAGCTATCTCTGTGCAGTAGAAGGAAGATCAGATTAGCTGACTTGACTCCCACTGCAGGTAGAGCCAGGACAGGACGGATGAGGAAGCTTCGGGGAGATGAAAAATGATTGTCTCTTTCCAAGAATGAAGCCACAGGAATTTGATGCCAGTTTATCTCCCTCTGGATGGACCTGTGAGAACCATGCAAAGAATAGTCTAGAACCTTTTGTTGTTGTCTTTCATTTCATAACTGTTTCTGCTGCTTATTTGTCCACTGAATAAATAAATTTTTAAAAAAGCTCCTCTCCGACAGCACCTGCTCATTCCAGGTGCATCTTCCACTCTGCATGGATTCTATCTCGCGCTGTTCATAAGTCACTCACACTATTCCAGCCAGGCATTATTTTGTCACCGTTTTTGAGCCTCTGTATGTCCTACTTCTTACTTTCTTCCCCACTCCCTTTTTACTTCCCTTACTCACTCCTCCCCTTGCAGCACGTACCAGCTTCTTCATGATCCCATCATCAAAGTACTCACTTCATCTTCCAACTGTGCTAGCACCTTCTGGGTCCCTCTTCCAGGACATAGTCTCTTTCTCCAAGAATTAAGTCACGTTTGTCTGCGGCTCCTTCTCTCTACAAAGTCAACCTCTCCAGACATCATCTTTTATTCACTCTCTTATTCAGCATAAAGCTCAATTCCTGCATCTTAAGGGACACAAGCTTCTAAGAAGGAAACTAAATATCTTTTCACTCACAGAAGTTCTTTTTTGCATTGAGTTTTGCCAGAATACTTTTATATCTGCAGCCTTATTGTACATGAGAAGGAACTGAGACATAGATGGTTTGGGTGGCTAAATCAAGGCCACATGCCTAGAAAGTAACAAAACACTCTGGAAAGCAGATCTCATTTTTCCCCTTTGATGAGTCCCCGTTTCCTCTCTATGTCCATCAGGGCACCCATCCTCACCGCCTGTGGTGAACACCGTGTATGGCAAAGTCCTGGGGAAGTATGTCAGCCTGGAAGGATTTACACAGCCTGTGGCCGTCTTCCTGGGAGTCCCTTTCGCCAAGCCCCCTCTTGGATCTCTGAGGTTTACTCCTCCACAGCCTCCAGAGCCATGGAAATTTGTGAAGAACACCACGTCTTACCCTCCCATGTAAGGTTTGGCCTCTTTTAAGGAGTATGTTTGTCTAAGAGGGATATAGGAGAAGTCAAGGCAGTCCTTTGATTGGCTTATATCCCCAAGAATACTGTAGAACTTTGGAGAAATTCTAGAGCTGTCATAGTTTCCCACAGCTCTTCACTTTATTTACTAAGCACTTACCATGTACCAGGCATATTTTAGGTTCAGAAAATCTGGCAGTGAGCAACAATACAAATAAAGAGGAAGGGAGACAGAGATAGTAAACAATATGCAAGGTAAGAAATGAACTAGGCAATATGCTAAAATATCATCATGGTTCAGAAAACAATTAATGAAGCAAAGGAAAAAAGTAGTGTCCTATCTCTTCTCTATTCTGATCTTGGCATGGCTGGGTATAATGTGGATAAAGGTGTGTAAATGCATTGAAGAATTCACTAACGTGGTGGGTTTCACTCCAGGTATGTCTACATACCTAGATATGTGTGCAGCAAAGATTAGTGAGCCTTTCTCAGCTGGCAGAAAATCCCAGTTTTTCATTTGCCCTCACAGCCTCCCCTTGAGCACCTCAGACATGTATACCCATTAATTTAGATCTTACTCATTTCCTCAGTCTTTGCCTGAGAAATGCCTTCTGAAAAATTTCCAGATCTTGCTTCTGGTTGTCTCCTTTCCTTTCTTTATACATAAGGCTCACTCTTTTACTTCCTGTTTGCAAACATAATGCATATATACCTCTGAAAAATTAGGAAATACAGTGAAACAAATGTAAGAATATTTAAATCATGAGATGAGATTTTCTAGTCTTTCATCTGTTGCATGCTTTCTTCCTTGAAAATGAATCAAAGATGGGTTTGGATCACTGCCTAGCCTGTAGATAACATCAAAACCATTCTATGCTATCGGTTTTCACACCTTGACTTTTATTATCTACACTGAATTCAGTACTGAAATGTAATTTATTTCCTCAATCTCTTATTTGTGATTCATGTATTTTTGATTCTCTTGACATTGTAAATAAAAGTATGGTTAACACATAAGGAAAGAATTATAACTAATCATAAATTATTTAGGATAAATTTCAATAAATAATATTTCTGAAGCAAAAAGTATGTACATTTTGTGAAATTTTCCTCCAGATGGATTCTAACTCCATCCAGTCTTTCCACTGATATAACCTCTAGTCCACATTCCTTTGCCAGTGCATGAGTTTATAAAAAACTTACTTTTAGCTATGGGGTAAGTTAAATAATGATGTAATAAGAATTAAGTAACTTAAGACAATAATTTTAAATATGATTTTTATTCTTATTTTGTATTTATCTAAAAATGATTGAAGTTGAACATTTTTATTTTGATATTTGGATTTTTAGTTTTATGAATACTATGTTCCTTGTGTTTGATGATGTAGGTAAACATATTCACTCCCAATCTGGAGCTCATCTTCACTGTGTCAGATTCTTCCACTTGACATCTGTGTCATCCTGGAAACTTAGAGCCAAGTTATCTCTTCTGCAACCTAGAAACAGTGATTCTGCCGTGTAGGTCCATTGAGATATGGGAGTGTTGCTTATAATGTACTTGGATCTTCCTGGATATGCAGTCTTGGGCAGATTATCTATGCCTCTGTTTTCTCATCTATAAAGTGAGAATCATAATAGCACATGCCTAGAGCTGATCTGAAGCTTACAGGACTTAGTTAACAAGGAAAACTTAAATTAGCGACTGGCATACAGGGAGAACTCGGTATGTGTTTCCAAATCTAATCTGTGATGGATCTTCAAAGCTGTATTGGCCAGCAGACAGTGATTTCCTGAAATAAACTCATGAAAGAATCTTAATATGTTGAGGCTGCAAGACCTTAGAGAACCAAGTCCTTCACTTAAACCTGGGAGATTGGGTCTCAGAGCAGAAAAGGGATTCATTGAAAGTCATTCAGCATATCAGAGACAAGACAGGCCTGGAAGGCAGTTGTGCTGTCCTCGTTTCATGACGGTCACTTGCCTGACCTGCTGGAACTGTCTGCATTTAAGGGATTTTTATAGTCAAAGGAAGTCATTTATGTATTAGAACATGTTTATCTGGGGGAACTTTATCACTTTGCAGCCCAGCAGAGACCAGGAGAGCAGGAAATGCCATTGTCTAGGCCAGATCAGCATTAGGATAGCTCTTGTCCTTGGCCCACGGCATCCCAAGGACATTGGAGCAGGGAGAAGTGTCAAGACTTTCTCATCTGCATGATATGAAGAGAGGCTAAAGAGTTGCAGGGCCCCCACCAGGCTCTCAAATAGCCTCTTATACATTGCAGTGGCCCCAGTATAGTGATACCAGCTTCACTTATAGGCTTGAGCCTTCCAATGGTTCCAGGGACCATTCATAGCTTCCACTTGGTTCACCCTCAAGTGTTCTTTCTCCTCTCCCAGGTGCTCCCAAGATACAATGGCAGGGCAGGTGCTCTCACAGCTGTTAACCAACAGAAAGGAGGACATTCCTCTCACGTTTTCTGAAGACTGTCTGTACCTGAATATTTACACTCCTATCAACTTGACAAAGAAAAGCAGGCTACCGGTAAGCTTGGAACCATTGCTCAGTGCTTCTGAGTCCTAAAATCCAGGATTACCCAGCACAGGAACAGCATAGGAAGCATAGACAGCAGCTTGCTGAGAGGCAATCAGAAGTCAGGACTGATTCAGGGACCTGGAACTTCCTTTCACCACAAAACACAAATTTTCCATACCTTGTTTTCCCTTACTGACTTCAGGGGTGCTTGCTGTCCAATTAGAAAGCATACTTTAAACTTTTTCAAGTTCTTTTATATTGGTAGAAGGGCAAGAACAATGAATTACTCATAGCTGTCAAATTAAGAATTTCACCCCCAGAATATCTAAAACTAATTGGAGCTGAAGCAATCTCTAAGGGGAAGAAGGATACTTACAGAAATAGACAGTAAGGCTCAAATGGGGGAAGGGAGGTCCCACAGAAGTGTTGGCAATACAAAAGCTTAGGTTCCTGATCTTTAAATCAGTGCTTCTTGACTCGGACTGGGAAACAGCATAATATGCATCTTTGTACATATAATACTTTTAGCAGTGTTCCCAGAGGTTGCTGGGACACAGTTTAGAGTAATCCCAGAACAGATATCCTTGTCTTGGCTAGCCACGTGCAGTTATATTTTAACTCATTTTTATCCTTAATTGCCTTTGGCACAGGTTGGTGCTCCGGTGAGTTTGCACTTCCCAAATAAATGAAAGGCTACAGGTGAGGGCAGGAGAGAGTATTCTGAAAAAGAGAAAGTGCCAGAAGGAAAGAGGGAGGGCGTCAGCACCCAGCCAGTCTCCCAGGAGTACTTTGGCATGGATCCCAGAAATGGAAGAGGAGGAAAAGGAGGATGAAGAGGAGGAGGAAAACTTGGGACTGGAAGTTGGTTCTATGCCTGTTTCATAAAGCATAAGAAGGAGAGAACACAAATTCCCTTTGATCACTCATTCATTCATTCTTATGTTATGTACTGAGTCTCTCTCTCTCTCTGTATATATATCTATATATCTATAATATTTATTTAGACTTTGGAATTAGAGAAAGAGGAACTTGAAAGCATGACCACACATCCCTTGCCTTCAAGGCATTTTACCTTCCTAGCCTATCCTTCCCTACAAGGCCTTGAGTTCAGCTTTTAGTTACAGACAATCTTGACTCAGTCTCTCCTGTGGAGACTGGCAAGGCTTAGGGGTGGAAGAGAATTTTTGTAGCCAGGATTTTTGTAGCCTATATATAGGAGATCCTGTAGCTATGAGCACAAGTTTTAGAACTACAAGGTCTGTGTTTCAGAGCTGGGTCTGCCTTTGACTAAGAGAGTGCTGAGCAATTTCTATATTTCTCTCAGCCTGTTTACTCAAATCGGGTTAATCACATATGAGTATTCAGTGTCCACTGTCGAGCTTTATCTCAACCCTGCTGAGTACACAGAGCCAGCACTGATAACACACTAGTCAGAGTTGTAGGAAGATCTTCCCCCTGCACTATCAGCCTAGCTGTAGCATTGTGCCCACTGGCAGCAGGGAGGGGACTGCTGATTATGTGGACTCTGAAGCTGGACAGCCTGATTCAGGCCTACAGCCTGATTCAAGGTGGTAACTGATAGCTATAAAATCATGTACAGGTAAACTGTCTCAGTTTTTCTGTGAAATTATAACCTTAGTACTTACCTTATTGATAGGTTATTCTAATGTACTTACAACATCTCTTGGTGTATGTTTCATTTTATGTCTTTTTATTAGCAATATTATTAAAATATTATTTTATACATTCCAGATTTTCTCCTGCAATGTGAGCTTTTTCTATCCAAAAATCATAAAGTATGAACTGTTGTATCCACTATCATCTTCAGTTCTTATCACAGTTTGTAGCACAAAGTATATTCACACACAGTGTTATTCAAATAAACAAAGGCAGGGCTGGGGAAAGAGCTCAGTGGCATAAGCGCCTTCCTGCCAAGTGCAAAGTTCTGAGTAGATTCCCAGTACCGAAACAAACAAAAATAAATAAATAAATAAAGTCTTCTTAGAAGAGATACATGTGAGCTGCACTCAAGAGAGGGAGAGGGCTTGGTCTGGTGGGGAGCTAGAGAGGATGCACTTTAGGGAGAGACATCACTGAGGACATGTGTGCTTTTAGAGACAACTATTCATGCATAGAGAAGTTGCATTCACCCCTAAAGTGTTACTTGAGATGAATGGGAAACTCAAAGCTGAGAATGGTGAAATGTTGGAGAGAACAGAACGCTTCTGACCTTTGCTATTTTCACTGTGATATTTTTAGTTTAAAGAGCCTTGGGAGTATGTCACACACATGAGTCTGAGAAGAAAGGCAGGAGTAGCTAGTAAGCATTGAATGTTATTTTGATGTGGGTCCTAGCCAGATGAGTTGGGAGGAAAGAGACGGTCTTTTTCAATCTTGGTGGGCACTAGTGAACTAGGAAATTCCCTCCTTGAGCTGCAGTCAAGTACAAGTAACCAAACAGTACAACCGCTGAAATTCTTTCCACTTCTGCTTATTCTAATGAGTGGGGCTGTATCCTCCTTCTCCAGGTGATGGTCTGGATCCATGGCGGTGGTCTTATAGCGGGTGGCGCATCAACCTATGATGGAGTGCCTCTCTCGATCCATGAAAATGTAGTGGTGGTGACCATTCAGTACCGGCTGGGCATCTGGGGATTCTTTAGGTAAGGTTCTGTTCTATCATTCTTGCATACTGGCTCATTTATTGGTCTGTTTTCTGTTTCTGTAACAAAGTGATTGAGGTTGGGATATTCTAAAGGAAACAGATTTATTTAGCTAAGAGTTTGAGAGGCTCCAAGTCCAAGATTTGGAGCTTTTATCAGCTTAGCCTAGTGATGACTCCTTGGCTACACTACAATATGGTGGAGAAACAAAGAGAATCCACATAGTGCAGAAGAGATCACATGGACAGAAAGAAAGCAAAAGAGTAGTAGAGAATCTTGCTCTTTTTATAACAACATTTTCTGCAAAACTAACCACAGACCCATGAGCACTACGTAAATCCCTTGTGAAGACATCACCCTCTTGACAAGCCCTCACTAGGTTCTACTATTGATTAAAACTGTCATGTTGGTAGCCAAGGTTCTAACACATGAACCCTGGGGGGAAAAACTATGTCCAAACACAACAGGCATCACAGCAAAGATACACCACCCACAACAAGACCAACCTTCTCAGGGCTGGGGATTTAGCTCAGCGGCATAAGCACCTGCCTTGCAAGCAGACACTCGTGAGTTCAATCCCTGGTACCGATAAAAAGGAAAAAGACCAAAAAAAAAAAAAAAATCCAACCTTCTCATGTCAGTGCTCATGTCACCTTTCCTACAGTCCTTCATCATGAATCTGAGTACCTTCATTATTGACTCTAGCTTAATTTCTCATTAGCCATATATGCCGTTCCCACTGCCTGAAATGCTACCTTGTCTGTCACACTCCTATTTAACCTACAAAGTCCAGCCTTCATGTTACTGAATCTAAATAATCATTTCCTTTCATATGTACTGCCCCAGTGCACTGGGTCTTTTCTGATGAAACTAAGCATGAATTGGGGGTAATTGCAAGTTGCACATCTTCCAAGGGAAAGGAAGGAAGGGATGTCTCACTAGGTGCAATGAGGATTTGTGCAGGCAGGATTCCAGCTGACCACGCTGTCAGGCTGTTCTTATAGAGGCCAGAAGTGACCTCTATCAGTGCTCAACCCAGCCCTATGGGACTGCTCACAACCTCCACAACCACTCAAGCCTGTTAGAAATGCTCCCATCTCCTGGCCCTGGTTGCCCCCCAGCTGTTCTTTCTTAGTCCTTAACTGTCTCACCATCCTTAGGCCTCTGTCTACCCTTTCCTGTCATTCATATCTTATGTTTTCCTGGAAGCACTTTCGCAGGTTCCTGTAGAATCCCTTACCTCTCCTTTGAATCCCAGGTGCCAAGATTTACATCCTTTAGTTTCCCCTGGATATCTACAAGTTGCCTCCAACTTCACAGAGCCAAGCTGAGCCCTGTACTCAACACTGTTCCCTCACCAGAGTCTCTCTTCCTGGTCCTGTAAGGTTCTCAAAGCAACTGTTCCTTACTTTTACTCCAATCAAGGCCCCATAGCTATGCTTTCAGTTACTGTTATAGCCCCTTGCTTTTATAAACTTGCTACTTTTATATGACAGTTGTTCCATGCCATAGTCAGAGTGATCAGGTGAGACACAAATGAAATCATGTCATACCTTTGCAGATGGTTCCGATGTTACTTACGTGGCATAAAGTCCTTGTCTCAGCTCACAGTATTCTATTTGCTTCATACTAGGTATGTTCACACTTTTCTCTTTCTGACCCTGAGGTGGATGTATCTGCTGCTTTTATTAAGGAGAATTCCCTTCATTGGTTCTTTATAAGACCCATGTGTTCATTTTTATTCTGATCTCTACCAAAGGTCAGTGACACAAAAGTCTTCACCAGGTTATGAGAACTGAAATATCACCCCAAGGCCCATCCTTCCCTTTTTCTTTACTTTGAACCCCCCTGGCTCAAAGCACTTTTACTATCCAAGAGTATAGTTTCTTTTCATCTGTTTGTTTCCAGTTACTGTATGAGCTGAGCAATGGTAGACTGCCCGTTTCTTTCCCAGATGTGCTTTTGCTCTCAGACCATGTGAGATATTCAGGATAGTAGATATTCAGGGCATGAGTTCTGGAAAAATGAATGTGGAGCCCTCTCTGTAGAAGATGGTTATGGGGCTGAGGTAAACATGGTTTTCTTTGCAGTGCACAGCTCAGCCTGGTCTAGAAGGTCACTGAGAGGCCCAGGCCAATCTGTGATCCTGGGAGTGCTGCCATGACATCTCTGCCTTTTCCCCACCCTCCTCTGTTGCAGCACAGGGGATGAACACAGCCGAGGGAACTGGGGTCACTTGGACCAGATGGCTGCACTGCGCTGGGTGAAGGACAACATTGCTAACTTTGGAGGGAACCCTGGCTCAGTGACCATCTTTGGACAATCAGCGGGTGGTCAAAGTGTCTCTGTTCTTGTAAGTGCTCCAGACTCTAGATCCCACCTCAGGATTTACTCTGGTTCTGATGGAACCTCTTAGGGACCACCTAATACAGCCATGACTACTTTTGCTTATAACCCAGATTGGGTTTGACCCTGTTCACTGTACAGCATCAGATTGTGGGGAGCCTAAAACCAAACTTTCTTGGGTTCCAGGATTAAACCTCATGTCCTGTAATGATGAGTCTCCATCTCAGGCTGCAACAGCAAATTCCTCCTGTTCATACTTTACTGCATTTTTTTTCTTTTCTTGAGGATTTGCCTGTGTCTTTTGGGAGGTAGGGGTGGGTATAAACTATGAATAGGAAGAAGCAAGGACATGTGTTATATAAAGTATCAATATATAAAGTGTCCACATTGAAGGAACTTGAGGAGGAGCAGGCAGGGATTTTCTCTGAGATATTCTGATGGCTTTTCCATGCCCAAGAAGGGAATGAGCAGCAGTCTCTGAGACTGAAAGACAAAGTAGGCTGGAGGAGGTGGGTAAGTAAAAGGAGAGATGTAAGGTGGAACAGGAAAGGATGGGACAGGGGATGTGGGTCAGTGATACCCGCAGGGCATCAGATGACTTGAGGGTGTGGAGAACAGGCCCTAGGAAACACTGCTGAGAAATCATAGAAGGTTCTAAGAGCTTTAAGAAAGTTTGCATTTGGCAGAGGATCAGCCCTATTACTGTATTTTTCAAACGTGCTTTTAAAATTTTTTAATGTAGAATAAAAGGAAAGATTCAGATAAACACAAAAAAGGGAAAAAGTAATCCATATTTCCACTACTCAGAGTCAGGTCACTAGCTTGGCATGTATTTCTCTATTGAATTTTGTCACAGTCTCTCTCTTTCTCTCTCTCTCTCTTTTTCCCTTCTCTTCTCTCTCACATAAATCTGTTAGTATTTTTACAAGAAAAAAAATTTCTTTAATATTACAGTATAGCATAAATGTTTTTTTAAACACCAAAACATTAGGTGCTTTTAAAACATACTATCTTTTATAATTGCATAGTATTTCAAAGGATGGAAAATAATTTATTTACCCAACTTGTTGAATTTTTCCAATGTTTATTATTATAAATAACATGAATATTCTTAAATATCTTAAGAGTGCCTCCAAAATCTTTTTTTTCTTTTTTCTATTTCTTTGTTATTTATTCTAGCAGTACTGGGATCCGAACCCAGATCTAAGACATTCCAGGTGAGAGATCTACCATACAACTACATAACTAACTTTTTATGACCATTTTTCTTACAATAAACTCTGTTTTTTATTTTAAAGAGATTAAGACAAAACAGGACATAACAAAGCAGATCAGAACAGGACAATATAAGCAACACAGTATTTTACCAGAGGACAACCCATAATTAGCAGTAGCTACCACAATGTCTCTTTCTTTGAAATAGTTGAGTAGAACTTCATATACAATAGTATCAAACATAACAAAATAGTATAAAAACATTCAAGAGGATGAGAGTATTACAGAGCATTCAGAACCAAATAACAGAAAACAAGCAATGGCTACTACATTATCTCATTTTCCATAGAAAATTTGTTTATACTTTGACACATAATACAATAAGGTACAACATGATAGAACCAATGGAAACAGAAGAGCAAGAGCATGGTAGGACATCAGAGTGAGATGATTATATCAGTACTCGATATTATAATGACTTTTTTCCCTCAAATTAGCTGTTCATACCGTCACAGATAATAAAATCAAACATCCAGGACAAACCCATTCCAGCTAATGAATGTGAGCATTATAAGGCTTCAAAACAATGTAATGGGGAAACATGATTACCATAAACTCTTATGTACTCTTACTATTTCTTACACTAGGGAGACTATATGGTATGTATACATGTGAGTTTGATTTATTTTGCTTATGAGTATGGTCTCAAGTTGTGCACTTTTATTAGTAAATATCTCAATGTGATCATTCTTTATCACTGAGTAGTATTCCATTGTACAACGTTTTTATCCATTCCTCAGTTGATGGACACTTAGATTGTTTCCAAGATATTGCTATTACAAATTGTGCTGCTATAATCATGGGTACACTTATATCACAGTGGTATGATGTTTTCAGTTCTTCTGGGAATATGCCCAGAAGTGGAATAGCTGGGTCGAATGGGACTTCCAATCCCAGCTTTTTGAGGAATCTCCACACTGCCTCCACAGTGGTTGTACCAGTCTACACTCCCACCAATAGTGCAAGAGAGTTCCTTTTTCCCCACAGCCTCTCCAGCATTTGTTACTGGTAGTTTTCTTTATCCTGGCCATTCTTTCAGAAGTGAGATGGAATCTCAGTGTGGTTTTAATTTGCATTTCTCTAATGTCTAATGATGATGAACGTTTTTTCATGTATTTGTTTGCCATTTGTATTTCTTCATCCGAGAATTGTGTATTCACCTGCCTATTTTTGGACTGGGTCCTTGAGTTTTGGGGATCTGATTTTTTAAAAATTCCTTATATGTTTTAGACAGAAGTCCTTTGTCTGAGGGACAGTTCACTAAGATCTTTTCCCAGTATGTGGGTTTTCTTTTCACTATGCTGGAGATTTCTTTTGACATGCAGAAACTTTTTAATAAGATGTGATCCCAGCTATTGATTATGGGAAGTAGTTCCCTTGCAGTTTGATTCCAGTTCATGAATTCTCTACCTACCCCTATGTCTTCACGATGTCTGCCTACTTTGTCTTCCAACAGATTTAGTGTTTCTGTTTTAGTATTCAGATCTGAGTAATAGAGATTTCAAGACAGAAATTTGCTGGGAATTGCCAAGCTGTCTTGTAATCTTTTTGATTGTTGTGAAAGCATATGGCATACACTTTCTGTTGTATTTCTGGTTCTATCTCAGAGCACAATGAGCTGTGCTTCCTTCCTGCTGAACTTACATTTCAAAAGCCAGAAGGGGCTCAGCAAAACAGGAGAGACAGGTGAGGAACTGTTGTGTATACAGAGCATCCATAGCAGACGCTTAACCAGAGAGAACCGTAAAAAGCAAGTCAATCACTGGCCCCTCTCTCTGTGCGCATAAACTCTTTTCTTCTCCACTCCCTCACCAGGTGTTATCTCCCCTGGCCAAAAACCTCTTCCACAGGGCCATTTCTGAGAGTGGTGTGGCCCTCACCGCTACTCTGTTCAGCAATAACATCAAGCCTCTGGCTGAGGTAGGTCTCACCTTGAACAGGTCTCCTACATGTTCCTTATTTCTCACGGAACCATCAGGAATCTTTCCTTTAGTGGGATTCTGCTGAGTAGCTCAAAGAATTACTGAAGTCAGGATGGCTGAAGAGTAAGTTTTCCTTCAAGGCTCACATTTAAAGTACATCCTATTGCTCTTGAAGAATCTTGGTGTGGATCGCTTTATCAACACTTCCTGTAGTTTTGAATAAGTTTTAGTATGTGGGTGGTGTGGTGCCCTGCTAAGTATGTCACGTATATTAACTCTCCTTATAACATAGATATTCATTGCTTCTATGTACAAGTAGGGAAACCAAAGCCAAATGACAAGGAAAGGAGGTGGAATTGTAAACAAGCAGAGGAATTCTGGTATCCACATCCTTCACTCCCAAGCCATACAGATTTTCTTGAGACACTGAACTTTGGGAACATTTTAATAGATCACTTAATTTAATAGAACCTTTTAATATGATCATTTTAATAGAGATAAGACCAAGGAGACATAAATCTGAAATTGGATAACATCACAATTTTAGCTAGTAAAAAAGATAATATTCTATAGGACTCAGAACCTACACCTGCTGGTTTAGAGTATTTCTCGCTACACCACAACATTCAGAAATTTCTCTTGGGAGTGACCCCCTCCTCTATATTGATGGAGAGAATAGACTTTGCTCTTGCCTGTGATCTCTGCAGAAAATTGCTGTTACTGCTGGGTGCAAAACCACCACATCAGCCATCATGGTTCACTGTCTGCGCCAGAAGACAGAGGATGAGCTCTTGGAGACAACTGTGAAAATGGTAGGTACATTCATTTTAGGGGTTTCCTATCTGCACACGTGGTCCCAGGCTTCAACCATCCAGGTCCTGTCACCCTGGAAAAACTACCCAGGAAAGTTTCTTACCTCTCCTGGGGAGCTTCAATCTCTTGATCCAAATTGGAAATTTTATTTTCATTTTTATTGTGAAATTCCTCAAGTGTTAAAGGGCCAATAATACAATGATGAAAAATTGTATAATGCTCTCCTCATTTTTTCAAAACTTAGCATTTTGTTATTCTTGCTTTCAGATATTTTTTAAGAATTAAAAGATTCAGTATTCTCAGAAGCTTCTGCCATCTTGAATATTTGAGTTGAGACTACTAAGTATAAAATTTTTCAGCAATGTGTTACAATTTACCTTGGCTGATTTAGAAAATACCTCAATTTCAACATAGCAATCAACTAGATTTTCTGACACTACCTCAGTTAGGATTCAAGATAGCCGTCTACTTCCCCATTTTTTCATTTGCAATGAAACCATCACATTCACTGATATTCTCTCATTAATCTACTATCAATCCATAGATTATGTTTCATCTATTTTGAATACATCATGATTCATGAGTAATCTAGTCTACATCTATCTGTAAATTTTCACACAGTCCTACAAAAACAAAAATTCACCACCGGTTAGCTATTCTTTTTCTTTTAATCCTTGTGTCAATTCAGCTTACCAATATGTATTGACCTATTCCTTCAATTCATCCAATCCCTAGTCATCCTTCCATCCACTCACTCATGCATTCATCCATAAATCCATAAGTCAATGCAATATTGGTGTCAACAGAAGTGATGCAGGTGTAAATTGAACTCTATTTCTTCACATAAGGGATAATCCAAAGAGAAATAATCATTTTGTAGGACAAATGTGACACAGAGCTCAAAAGGAGCATATTCATTGTCACACTAAGGAAGGGTAACACTCAAGGACTGATGGGTAGCCATGGAAGTCTGTCATCACAGAGAAGCTTAGTAGGATAAATATCCAGAGAAAGATCATACAGGGCCCATGAGAATTAGTCTAGGGGGTGAAGAGGAGGTAGTCACATGAGACCCTACCCTGTCTTGGACTTTGGACACTGGACAATACTTTTAGACCTTCAGAACAAACTTCTCTCACTGTTTGTTTCCTGCGTGCTCATGGATTGTACATTTTGGGTTTCAGTCTTGTTTCATCAGTCTCAGATAAGGTGACCAAAGTATTCAAGCACAACTGTTTTCCAATATCTGGAAAGATACAAATATTTTAGTCCTTCTGTGTGTGTAACGAGAGAATGCAGCTCATATGGAAATTGTAGGTGATTTGGAAAAACAGAGAAATTAAGACACCAGAGCATATTTTGAGATTTTTCTGCATTTCTGTGGAACTGCTTCCACAATTATCCAATGCCCCCACATAACACATACACACAGAGAACAACTCCCTCACAAGGTAGGTTATACCTCATGATAAAGGGCATCTCTAGAGATTATTTCCTTATTACAGATCAGACCTGTTATGTAAAGTGTCACATTACAACTACTGCACTCTTGATGAATGCACAGCCAAGAAACATGTAGAGTGTTTTGACTTTCACTGAGCTTTGAAGTGCCAGGATTTTGTAATTCAGGATGAGAAAGCTCAAGTTGCCTTAAAGAGAAAAAGAGATGTGTTGTAACAGGGGCTTTGGGTAACTGAAAATCTCAGGAGCAAATGAGTTAGGCTGCTTTGGATCTGGATGCTCTGAAGATTTTATTGAGCATCTACCAGCCTAAATCCTGCGTTTTCCCTTTTCTTTGTTAACTTTTCTGTGGACCAGATCTGTCCCCTGATCGAATTAAAGAGCAACACTCTATATTTACATCCTATTTGCTTAGAAACCTTATGTATCCCAAATATTTTAGCAGTGGGTTTTGGCATGAAGACTTTTTGGCTGACACTAGCATGGATCCATCCTTGAACTAATCTCTCTGTTCAGAAACGTGGAGGCCTCAGATGCTTGAATTCATAAAGTGGGTGTGGGGTAGAGGGAATGGAGGTGAGGTCATAGGATGGCTGGAATGCTGCTCCTGCAGGTCCATTAAACATTCATCCCCTCTCCTCCCAAGGATATGGTATTCTTACCACTGCAGGTGCCTCACTGCAACATTTCTCCAAGATGAAACTGGAGGTGTTGGTACCAGGCAGGTAGTATTTAGGGAAACAATGAAGCAGAGGGTGGGCACGACCAGTAGACTCCATCTCCAAAGCTCCAGGGATCTAGACTACAGGTTGAAGATCTTACCTTGCTGGTGCCTGACCCTCCCTGTCCTACTCTTCCACTTTGTGCTTGTACACAGAGGCCTACCTATATTATACCCTTCCTTTGGAATCAGTCGAGAAGGTACCAGAGGGCGAATCTGGTACTCAGCAGATGTAGCTCAAAGGAACAGATTTAATCTCAGGAAGGCTACTCATCACATCCTCTGCCATTCTCTTCACAGAATTTTTTTAGTGTGGATCTTTCTGGAGACCCCAGAGAGGTAAGGACTTTTGCTTTTATTGATTGTATGGTTTGAATCTCAACAGCTTTAATCATCACTTCACTAAAAGTGAATGAATTCTTTGTGAAACAATAGTCACTCCTTGTGTATACATTGCTTGGCTTCAGTCAGGGAATGTAACTTACCAGTTATACAGCCAGAAGAACCAGAGGTAAGGCTGGAATACATACCTAAGTCCCAGTCCTGTGCTCCCAGTTATTAATTCTGTGTTCAAGAGCTTAGCTACTTTCTCTCAAATCCCCTTTCTATTACTGTCTCTCAAAATGGCCCAGTGGGAGACTAGAAACTTCCACCCTAAGGAGGTAGAAGTAACTAGAGAGGAGGCTTAGGAACCTCCAATGAGGAGGGAAGTCCCTTGAGAGGCTACAGAGTAGAGAGAGAACTGAGGATCTCAGCCCCGTGAATACCAACACCACTCAGCATGCAGGAAACTCTATCTTCTCTATCAGCTGGGATATAACAGTGAAATAGAAAAGAATCCTTATAAGGCACAATATAGCCAATGTCACCAAATCCTGGAAACTGTTTGGACTTGGGAGTTTAAAAAAAAAAAAGAATGAGAAATGGAGACAGAGATAGGCATTGGTGTGAATATAAGCAGCAGGGTCAGGGGCTGACTTGGTGAATAGGTAATACCTGAGTTCACCTGTAAACAATGGAAAGGACCAGCTGTCAGGAAACATGCAGCAAGAGTGTTGTATGGAGGAAACTACAGTTGCAGAGGCCTTGCTGCAGGAGACCAGCATGTTTGGAGAGGAGGCAGAGAGAACAGGCTGGAGATTGAGGAGGTTGTGGAGGAGGGTGGGAGGTAGTCACTGTATGGACTTGGATTATCATCCAACATGAGGTGGATGAGTCCAGAGGCCCTTGAAAAAAGCAGTGACATAATCTTAGATTTCACAAAAGTCTCTGACTGCCCTGTGAACTGAACAAGAAGGATGAGATAAGGCAGATGCAGAGAGAGGGAAGCCACTGTGCTGCAGTAGCCCACTTAATGGGTGCTGGTGGGTCTTATGAGGGCTGGAGTAGAGGAATGGAGGAAGTGGGTAGAGTTCAGGTGCTTTTCAAAGAGAGTTGACAGTACTTGTTGCTAGGTAGGGTGAGGATTCTTTAAAAAGAGGGTTAAAACTCTTGATTTTTCTGACCCAAGCAAGCAATGCACATTACTCCATGAGGGAGCTACCAGTGTCCCTGTGTGGACAGCTGCAATCTCTGTCATTCTCATGGTGGCTGACATCAATACTCCCTCATGGATGCTGCCCAACTTGGGCCCCCAGTCTAGGTCTTCGGGACTTTTACTATTTTTTTTAATCTCCTTTTTCCCACCTTACTTTCATGTTCTCTGTTGTCACCAGACTCGCCCTTCTAAACACAAGTTGGAGTATTTTATTTCCCCTTTTAAAAGCCTGATATTGCTTACAAGACAAATCCCTTTGCCACCACTGAATTAATTCTTCAAAAATACCTGTGTACCAACAATATACCAGGTATGTGGAAAATGTGCCTCACCACCTGACCCCTCTCATGTCCTTGTCCAGAGGCATTCTTCTAATCCTGGGGTTTTTGAAGTTCCTGAAATCAGCCCTGCACAGGACATCTTTGTTTCTTCATTCAAGTTGTTTTGAAATTTCCGCCCTTTTTTAGAACCAGTTGCTTTGGTCCCCAGAACCCACCACAGATGACACCTTCCTTGTATCTTCATGTGAGCAGCTGCTCTTGCTGGCTCCAGGGCAGCCCTCTCTGAACTGCACAGTCAGTCTACAGTAGGAGCAGTTTCACCTAAAGGATGTTCTGTACTGCCAGCCCAGTACAGCAGGATTTGACCCTTGTCTTGATCTGTTATTTCTCTCAAATTGGGAATCGTGTTTCATTTTGTGCTTCTTGAGCAATGAGTTCAATAACTCGTCAAAGCTAACTACTGATCAAAAAGAGCTAAGTTTAAATATTCATAGAGACGTACAAACTTCAGTAATCAAGAATTCTGTATTGTGAATTCATTTATTGGTTAGAATGTGTTTGTAGCCATGGCATCAGTGTTTATGACAGGATAATGGTTGCTTTCTGTGCATTCATAGAGCACAAAAGCTTGCGTCACATAATACCCAGGTACACACCTGAGGTCAAACAAGGAAATATTGAGCCTTTTTGCATCTCCCTTTCATTCCAAAATAACTACCTTTTGTTATTTATTTACTTATTTTTTTAAGTTTTGCCTTTTTGTAAGTGATTTCTCTGTTTAAATCACAAGCATAATGAGACACTATATAATTTGATCATACCAAGACCTCAAAGAGATAGAGGGGGAAAGGTATTACCTGAGCAGAGGAATCACAGACATTACACTTCTCTCTTTCCCAGGGCCATTCTTTCTTGCCCTCTGTACTTGATGGAGTAGTGCTGCCAAAGACTCCTAAAGAGATTCTGGAGGAAAAGCATTTCCATACTGTCCCCTACATCGTGGGAATCAACAAACAAGAGTTTGGCTGGTTCCTTCCAGTGGTAAGAATGCAGAAGCCTCTCTCATCTCCTTTCATACCATGAACTCGAATGTTATGAGTTCTTCCTTTTCCCAGATCTTCTGTATGCAAGAGTTAGGTCAAATCTATGTATGCAGAGGTTTGGACAAACATGTCACATGCAGAGATTTCTATAGTCCTCACTTCAGAAGGATTCTAGAAGTTATCATAGGAATAAACCCATACTGTTGATTTCTTTTCCTTCAGCCATCTGTGTCTGTGGAATAACCAATGTCCTCTCTGCCTCACTCCTTTGTCTCAGCAGTGTCCTGGTCAAAATATTTCCACACTGCCTGCTTGACTGTTGTGTCCCCTCGTGATGAATATTATGTGTTGATGGTGATAAATATTTTTTTGTTGATGATGTGCTCTTTGAATTCCTTGAGCTTCTGTCTATACATTTATTTGCTTAGTTTACTTTTATTTTCAGACTCATAAAGGACCCCAGTTTATCAGGGACCAATAAAGGATCTCCATTCTCTGTTTGTTTGTTTGGTTGGCCTGGTTGTTTCTTATTTACTTCTGATGATTTGATAATGCTTAACCACTTTTTAAACAGATGATGGGCTATCCGATCTCTGAAGACAAGCTGGACCAGCAGACAGCTGCATCACTCTTGTGGAAGTCCTACTCTATTCTTGTGAGTGTCTTGGGAATCAGTGGGAATTGATTGATCAACAGCCAGTGAAGGGTATGCGACTTGCCCAAATTCAAGGCCTAAAAATAGAGTAGGATGTGAGATTCAATGTGCATTTTCTGACCTTCCCTCTTTATTACCCCTGAAGGGATTTCCACATGGCTAGAAAGAGTCACCATCAATGAAGCTTTCCTTCCCATATTACTCACCAGGTAAACATGATCACTTTTTGTTGCATTTCAGAAAATCCCTGAGAGACTGATTCCAGTGGTCACTGAAGAGTATTTAGGAGGGACAAATGATCTTTTAAACAAGAAAGACCGATTCCTGGACCTGATTGCAGATGTGATGTTTGGTGTCCCTTCTGTGACTGTGGCTCGTGGTCACAGGGGTGAGTCCTAGAAATTGGGTGGGAGAAGAAACTGGCTCACTAGCTTTGGTGTCTAACCACCTCTACACCCACCATTTCCAGTACAGATGGATTAGTAACTGCTAAGGCTCACGCCTGAAAGGCTGAGTCTTTGGTGCTTGGAGAAAGGCTCTATTCTATTTTGGTGTCTGCCAACAGTGGATGCTGACAAAAGAATTCAAATGCAAGGCGTCAGTTTCAGAGGTGGTTGGGAAACAAGCGCAAAATGCGTCTCAGTGTTTTTTGTCCTGAGCAGCATGAGGCTAGGTATTTATCCACTAATGCTCACTAGTCATCAGTTAAAGGCTGTTCGTGTGCATTACTGCCTTGACCAGATGCCAATATAGGCAGAGTAGTTTCTAATAATCAAATAGAAGCCTAAGCAGAGAGCTAGAGATGCAGGAGGTAGAAATCAAGCTGGTCGGGGGCTGGGGATTTAGCTCAGCAGCATAAGCACCTGCCTTGCAAGCAGGTGGTCGTGAGTTCGATGCCTGATACCGATAAAAATGAAAAAGACAAAAAAAAAAAAAAAAAAGAAAGAAAGAAATCAGGCTGGTCTGCTCAGAATCAGGGATTATGACTGAGGCACCTACGACATCTGATACCAGGCTCCTTCCTTCAGGTTACACAAGTACATGGGACACAGAAAGCAAGCATGGGAAGGTGGGTCCTGACATGTGTTCAACATCAACACTAATGCTCAAGTAGAATGTTAACTGCTTGATCTATAGTATATCTTGAAATATAGTAGTCAAGTGAAGATCAAGAGGATGCCTGAGAATGAGAATACTAAAGGAGGGGGCACTAGGAGATACAGAGGAAGACGGCCTGGAAACTTTCAATCTCTGTGCAAAGTTGTGTCTGTTTTGCTATGTGCTGCTATCATCAAGATGAAAGTCATCTGGGATCTATTCCAGGGACCATTTGTCACTGAACTAAAGATATACAGATGGAGTGTGAGAATAAGCATAGTTGATCTTCCCTAAACAAGACTGTCTCTTTAGTCACCACTTGGGAAGTCTCACAGGACTACTCTTTTTCCATCAGTCCTCATTCACCTAGTCTCAAGGCAGGAAATGGTTGTGGTCCAGATCTCTCTTTCCTGTTTTGAGAATCAGAACTTTATTCCTCACAGAGAACTAATATCCAGAATATGTAAAGAACTCAAAAAAATTAATTGACCTAAAATAAAAGACCCCATCAAGAAATGGCATCTGAAATGAATAGGCACTTCTCCAAAAAAGTACAAGTAGCCAATTAAACATTAAAAAAGTTTAGTATCTCTTGCCATTAGAGAAATGAAAATTAATGCAATGCTAAGATTTTACCTTATATCAGAAAAAATGGCAGTCATAAAAAAAATCAAATAACAAATGCTTGCATAGCTACAGTGAAAAAGGAACCTGCCTTCCCAGATTGTTGATAGGAATGTAAACTACAGTCACTATGGAAATCATCAACATGATGATTTCTAAAAAAACTAAAATTAGAAATTCCATTTGATATAGCTATTCCCCTTTCAGCTCTCAGAACAGCTAAGGACATCATAATATAGTGATACACGCCTATCGATGTTTATAGCAGCACAAGTTATAATAGCTACATCCTGGAAGCAGCCTCTCTGCCCATCAACAGATGAATGGATAAAGAAAATGTGTTGTTTGTACATAATGGAGTACTCCTTGGCCATAAAGCAGGATATATGGAAGACATCTCTAGGAAAGATGAATGTACCAGTTTTGCTCTCTGCACTTGTAGTTATCTCTGATCAACTACAGCTGAGAAGTAAAAGAGGTGGATCACAGTGCAGAAAGATATTTTAAGAGAGAAAAACAAATAATACAACCATATTAATTTCTACACTGTAAACTGTTAAAATGCATTTCTATGAATTTATGGGAGCACAATGGTAACTATGCTTGAGGAATACAATTTAGAATAACTACATCAAGTGGATTAATATACCTGTCCCTTCAAATACTGAGCCTTTTTACAGTGAGAAGGTTTTAAATTTCTTCTCTTTACCATATTAGAATTACTCTCTATTACTAACTACATTAACCACGCTGTAACAGAACTCAGGAAAATAAGATGCTCCTCCTGTCAAATTTTGTACCCTTTCATTATCATCTCCCTTTTCCCCTCACCTTCAACTTCCACAACATTTTTGTCTATGGTTTGATGATGTCGATTGTTGTAGCTTCACAAATAAGGTCACCATCACAGGACCTTTTTTTTCCCCACTAAATCTATGCAGATGAAGTTTGAGATTAAGGAGAGATGAGTTCTCCTAAATGGGAGGTATCTTTTTCCAGCCACTATTTGGGAAGCCTCACAGTACTCTCCTTTTTCTATCAGTAGTTATGTCTCCTCTTTAATTTTTAATTTTATCTCTTTTAGTCTCATCTATGTGTGTATGTACATATAATTTGTCTGTCTTTTTCTATTTGGGGAAGCTAAAAATTTGTCATTTTGTTTTTAGTTTGAAAAACCAACTCATGGTTTTGTTGCTCTTTTTATTTTTTTATGGCCTCCATTTAATTTCTGATCCAAAATTTATTTCTTCTGCTACATTCAGGCTTATACTTTTTTTCACTTTTTAGAAGTTTAACTTTATTTTGTTTATTTGAGATCTTATTTTTAGATATAGATATTTATTGCTGTAAACTTTACTATAATCACATTTGTTATATCCCTTATGTTTTGGCATTTTGTTTCATTTTCATGTCTGAATACATTTTTAATTTTCACCTTAACTTCTTGTCAACTTACTTGTTGTTTGAGAACGTGTTTTTTCCACGTTTCAGAATTTCTTTTGTTATAGATCTCTACTTACATTCCACTGTAGTCAGAAAAATACATTTTATAATTTTAAGCCTCTTAAATTATATTAGTCTAGAGGCAATGAGTTTTTATTGATCTGGGAAAGTGAAAGCTGGTATTTATTCTTTATTTCTCAAAGATACCTTTCCTTCATGAAGTGTTCTATGTGGGCAGTTTTATTTTCCTTCAGCACATGGAATAAATCTTCCTATATCTCCTTAGCCCGCAGAATTTCTTCTTAAAAATTCACCACCAATATTTTGGAATGCTTTTATATGTAACTTGCTTGTTATCTCTTGATGCCCTTGGGGTTGTTTCTTTGTCTTTTAGTTTTGAAAGATTGATTATTCTGTGCCTTGGTTGAAATTAACTGGAGACATCTGTACTTTTTATATATAGACTTCGGCATGTAACCCAGATTAGGGAAGTTTTTCAGCCACAAGATCCTGAAGTTTGCCACCTGTCCCATTTCCCCTTTCTTCTTCTTCTGCAGCTCTTATTATGGAATTGTTGGGTCATTTGATGATCTTCCATAGTCTCTATTTCTCTTGTTTCTAATTTTAATTTCCCTAATCCATGTCCTATTTTCTTTTGAAGATTTATTTGTGATTACAAAGATTTTATAAATCTCCACGGTTTTAGGCAAAAACAAACAAACAAACAGACCTTGGCAGCAAGCTGCCTAACTTAAGTCCTGTTATTCATAAAAGTACTTTCCTCAATAGTCAGGTTTTGAGTTCCTTGGTAAAACATCCTAGTGACAGATCAGGATTAAACCTTCCATTGTGCAAGTTCTGCTTGATCTCAAAGGAGCTGTTTAATAAGTGGATTGCAGAGTCATGGAAGGATTGCTTCATCCAAATAACACTTCTTGCTGAACCAAGTGTAAAATCATACAAACTGAAAGAGATTGTTAAACAAACCATTCTTCATTCTCATGTTGGGATGACATATATTGAAAAATAATTTTTGGTGAATATCTAATGATGTGAAATAATGATTACAGATATTCCAAAAGCTTCTGTATTATATCATCACAATTTTTATATATAGAAAGCCTGCATCTGAATATATAAAAAAACCCTATATCTAAGTGGTAGGATTATGAGTGTAGGTTTTGTTTATTTGCTTTTGCATTTCCGCTCTTTTTCAATTTTCCTAGTGTACCTATGAGAGAAAAGACATATAATTTCTCCACTAGTCCAATCAATTTGGAACCTGACTCTTCTCCATGGGTGTTAAATTTAACTAACATCTTAGTGTTCTTAGGTTGTTTGTCCCTGAGTTAGTGCTGAAGGAGTAGGCCTTGAGGCTCAACTGTCAAATCAACAGGAAAACAGACTTGAGCTTGGGCCTCAGACAGGTTGGCTTTACAGCTGGGAGGTACGGCAGAGATGAAAAGAGGAAAGGAGAGGAGAAGAGAGGAGAGGAGAAGGAAGGGGAAGGGAGGGGAGGGGAGAGGAGGGGAGAGGAGGGGAGAGAAGATGCAAGTTAACTTTTCCTTACTGCTTTTTTTTGTTGACATCAGCTTATTATTTTCCCCTAATACTCCCCAAGCCTAGGAAGCAGGTATGGGAGGAAACTGCAATACAAAACACTGAGTTTTGTGATTTTTCTGAAATACAAGAGACCATAGACTATTCTATCACTGTATATATTTGTATTTAAGGATCCTCATTTTCAGACAAGCCATTTGAATTTATTCCGCTCTTCTCAGAGCATGAGAAAAAATATCTAGGATTACTCAAAAGTAGGATGAAAAAGAAAACAATTATGTTGAAGGTATCCTTGAAATGAAGGACACTAGTGTGTTACTAATGAAACACATTCAGTATGTTAATTGGATATATTGTATTCATTCATTATGTCACTCAGCAAATACCTGGCTAAATTTCTAGTTCTACTTCAACCAGCTATGCAATCAAGGAATTGATGTATCTGGAAACCAAGTTTCTCTACTGTGCTATCAGTAGGGATTTTCTGCCCAACTTGTAACAAGAAAGCCATGCCAGTGTGGTCCTGATAACATAAGCTGTGCATGACCTACATCTTTTCAGACGCTGGAGGCCCTGTCTATGTGTATGAATTCCAGTATCGCCCAAGCTTCTCATCAAACTTGAGACCCAAGACAGTGATAGGAGACCACGGTGATGAGCTCTTCTCAGTATTGGGTGCTCCATTTTTAAAAGGTAATGGTCTTTCACTGGCTATGAGCATAGAATTGGTAGGCCTGGATTTCAGACATAGTTTGGTAGCCTTGAGCAAGTTTCTCTATTTCTCTTGATCTTATTTTTTGGATTCACTGTCATGCAACTGAACTACATGAAATAAAAACCAACATTTTGCAAACTCTAGCATACATGAAGGAGATAGTATATACACATGCCATCAGCCATTGTTATTTTCAGAATTTGATCAGTGATATCAATAATACAGGCCACTATTTGATTTCCCACTCACAAAATACTAAGAGAATATAAGTGAAGTGAAGATCCCAATTGGTGCTGACCTTGGAGTGTCATATGTGTATGTCTTATGTGTTAATCTTCCAATTGATATAAAACTCATATATGTTAACCTATGATCTATTTAAAATTGTAGTATTTAAAGAAAATATTTGCAAATGCCTTCGATGCCTTCACTGCCATCAATTAATTGCATCTGTCTTATGACCCATTTCATGGCAGTACATGACACACCTCCCAGATGGGTAATTCCTTAGTAACTTTGCAGTTCTGATACTTTTTAGAATCTGTGGAAATGTGAATACATGTAAGAGATGAGAACAAGTTCAAAGTCAGACATCCTGAGAATCAGAAGAAACTCTGAGGGGCAGCATTGTGATCCAAGGGAAGAAGGGCAGATAGGCAGGCACAGAAGACAAAGGCAGCTGACTCACTGATGGACTGCATACTCCTTGCTGATCATCAGTCTCAGGGTGAAAGTGCCACTAATTAACCAGGACCATTTTACAATGCATCTCAGTAGGTACACAGTAAGGATGGAGATTGCATCTTGCCAATTCCAAATTCATGCTGTGCTGCCACAGTCCATAAATCATGTTCTGAATCAAAAATCTCCTCTTCTTTCTCTTCCTTTTTCTTTCTCTTCTTTCCCCACAGATGGTGCTTCAAAAGAGGAGATTAACCTCAGTAAGATGATGATGAAATTCTGGGCCAACTTTGCTCGCGATGGGTAAGGATAATGGCAAGGATGCAGCAGGACTGGTGGTCAAGCTTCATCATTCCTATCAGGAAAGGGTAGCTTTTGAAGTCTGGGTGACAAAATCCTACAATCTTGTGACCATAGCACTCTCACAATGAGAGATGGGGTGTTTCTCATCTCTGGAGATATATGAATAACTTTGCAGAAATAACCCAGGAAATTCCTAGAAATCTCAAAGAAATGTGGGAACCAAGCAGCAGGTTTGAATTTCTATTCTATTCTATTCCTAGGAACCCCAATGGGAAGGGTTTGCCCCAATGGCCAAAGTATGACCAGAAGGAAGGATACCTGCAGATTGGCACCACCACTCAAGTTGCTCATAGGCTAAAAGAAAAGGAAATGGTTTTCTGGACTGAGCTCTGGGCCAAGGAAGCAGTGGTGAAGCCACCCCATAAAGAACATGTTGAGCTCTGAACAGGAAGCCCATCCAGCCTTTGGAACAGCTAAGACAGATGTTTTCTACAGAAGGTGTTGGTAGACCAATGTGATAATGCTTACAGAGTTGGGAGAACTGTGTGATGGTGGTGTGCAAAGTCCAGGGAGAAGGAATGCTTTATTTGTGGCCACAATTTGTGAATAAATTTAAGTACTGTGATTAAATCAGTGTCTGTGTCCTGGGCTAGAGATGAGCGTGTGCTTCTCCAATGACGAAGACCTCAGCAAGAGACACCATCACAGCAAAATGTCTCTGTGGGGGTGGCTTCAATGAATGGTGATGCTGAACTCAAAGCAGACAAGCCTGTTGGAGGAAAAGTGGGATGTGAACCAGGTCTTGCTTTCCACTTGCAGATAGATGTCATTATATATGTGAGAATTCCTCTAAAACATTTACCAAAGTCCTAAAATCCAAGAATGAGCCATAAAATACCTGGAAATCAAAAACCCAAGGAAGTATTTATACTTTTGACAGGTTCTCTATGGATGTCGGTCAGATGCTTGAGAGAGAGAGAGGGAGCCCGTAATAGTAAGAAAGGCATGAATGAGAGAGGGACTCTTTCTATTACTGATTCAATCTCATTACTTGTTCTTGGGCTACTTTGCCTTTTTATATCTTCTGGGTTTAATTTTTATAAGCCATATTTCTCCAAAAGTTTGTCTGGTTCTTACAGATTTTCCAATTCATTGATATTTCTTTGCCAAAAAATTAGATGGCCAGATAAGAAAGAATTAGAACAAGGAAAATATACATGGTTAATTAAGATAGCTAGCAGAAAGATCCCTTAAGTGATAAGATATGTCTTAGCAAATTCCTAGCCCCAGACTGTTGGACACTGGGATGAACAAGAATAAGTTTCTGATCACAGGGACCTCTGGGTGTGCTGGAAGAAGCTCATTTGTATGATGCTCTGAGGTCAAGATAACCCCACAGCAGAAACAACCAAGGACATAGACTGCTGAAACTCCCTATTCCAGAGCAATAAAGTTGCCATCCTTAGAAATAAGACAGTTCCCTTAATTGGCAAAATTTACGGCTAGGAGAAGCCTTAGAACTGACTCGCAAGGTTCTCTCAGTATCCTCTTTTGTTTGAAAACCAAATAAATACAAGCTGACCTGAGAAATTTTTGTCTCAACCCCTAGAAAATCACTAATTCCATTAGAGAGTTTTGATCTTCCTAGAGCCCGAAAATTACCCTATTTTTCTCTTTTATTTATGCCATTTACTATCCACGTGTTTAGGGGAGTGTGAACCTGATAAATCTGCTACATAAGACTGTTAGTGTTTTCCATAATCTGGCCAATATTTGACAGTACTTTTAAAATAGTAGTGGTAAAAATCCTGTCCTATTCAGCAGGTACAATTTGTATAGTAGATCTGAATGTGCATTCCTACTATACACGCTATTGGTATGTTAAAATGATGTTTTGTTTATGTGTAACTTGAATAACTCTTGGAAAGTGGTGGATAGAGTGGAAAAAGATGATGTATTAAGTCATCCCACACATGCACCAACCCTTCTGCAGAGCCCTATTGTACTCTGAGCCTACATGTGAACATCAAGTAGGAACAGAATAGACTAAAGGGTCTGGAATGTCAACTAAAGTATATCGAATAGACTGAAGTTTTATTGGGAAAGAAGAAGGCCAATAATAATAGATCCTGGGTTTAGGGGAAGACTGCGTAATCCGGTGGAAAAATGTATATCATTCATGGTTGCTAAATTTTGTGCAAGCCCAACGGCCAAGGTTTTACATACAAAGACTACATGTTTGAAAAATATGATTCATCTTTTACCTTCCCAAGTGTTTAGAAGAATTACTTATAGAATCACCCTCTAGTCCCTGCAAATAGCTTGCTTGCTTCTGTTAGATTCTACCTTCAGAAATGCCCTTTCATCTTGTAGTTTCCTGGATTAAAATCATGCAACAACTGTACCATTGTCTGGAGCAGGGGGAAGTCAGTTAATAGCCTGCTGTCTAGTCTCACTTTTAATCCTCTTGTCTAACTGCCCCCCCAAAAGACTTCAGACTGGCACTGTGCCACTGCTAATGTCCACACTTCTCAGCTCCTCCAAATCCTGTCCAACTCTTGGCCAGTGCCATTGACAGTTCTGAGAATTAACATATGTGAACGCAAGATTTTCCAATTCAGGGCAAGAAAAGCTACACATTTTTATATTGAGATTATACTATACTATATATTTATAATCTACAGTTTGAAGTTTTCTGAGCCTTTTCCAGATTATATTCCATTTTAACTCTCTTATTTCAACATTTTTGTATGTTTTTCTGAATCTCTATTTTTTTCAAGGCTGAAGAAAACTTTACAAAGCACCCTTAGCAGACAAGGACTAGTTTCATAATCAGGTTCTTGTGATTTTAGTCAAAGGAATTCAAAGTTTATAAAGGTATAATACACTTCCTTGAGTTATGCAAGATCATTTTATCTGGCACACAAGCAAACTTTACATCATTTATGTAAGTGTTACATATTTATTTTGTTGCATGTTAGAATTACAATCCTGACATAAAATCCATGATTTGAAAGATTTGATGTAAAATACAGATTGTTTATTAAAATCTGTTCCAGTTACTCTGAGGACACATCAAGCCTTGCTTGTGGTTAGGCCATTGATGTGACTAGGTTCCTCCAGTAGAATCGGGGAGACCCATCTTCAGGATGGACCCTGAAAATCATCATTATCCACTGTGGCATGCTCCTCTCCCTTCCTGATAGCTAAAATTGTTGTCCTTGACAAATTTAGGAAGGTGAGAGTCATTCTATTTTGGATCAGGGATGGCAAATCATCTCACAAATCTGACTCACTGTGAATATTTTAAAATAAACTATTTTGAAACACAACTGTGTTCATTTGCTTGTGTCACTCCTAAGGCTGCATTCATTACAACAAAGTTAGGTCGCTACTAGAAGTGTGTGACTGTCAAAGCTGGAAATATTTACGACCTGTCCCTTTAAAAATAGTTTACCCATGTCTTTAGATTCCTGAACTATCACATGAAGGACAGTCTCCTTGTTCCCCTGAACAGCATATCAGTTCTTTACATGAGCCAAAGTAAGCCACTGAACTTTTTGACCTATTTGCTACCATTGTTGACCCTCCTGTCAATAACACATTCCTCTTCAGCAGTCCCAGAGCAACTGTCTAATGACCTAAATGTCAGTAGTCTGTGTCTTTATTATGAACACTTCTGCCTACAGTTCTGCCCTGGAATTTACCTGCATGACAACCTTTCTTTCAGGCACTCTTAACTCAGTCTCATGACTGAAATGAGCCTTGGCAGTTTGAGGACTTGTTTTCAGCACAGCATCTAGAGCCTTGGATGATATCTGACCAAAAATATAGTGACTGCCCAAAATACAGTGTCTGCTCATTTAACTTACAGTCACTATGGTGTCAACTTGTTTTTCTTTATGTTACTAAGTACCATCAACAGCTCACTCTCCACCCTGAGTGATTTGAGGATGTACAACTTTATGGACCAGATATACTATGACAGTAAGTCCCCGATTTTTGAACATTCCAGTTATAAACTTTCAAAGTACAAATGGACCTCACATTAGGAACATTTGAACATACCATTAAAGCATGGAAATAACCACATGTATACCACATGTATACCATGCATTGTCACAGTTGTGCCACTTTGTGCTCACTACAGTGTGATATTGTACATTATTTCTGTGTTTGATTTTTTTACAGCTTACGTTACATATTTGTGTCAAAAGTTTGTAAGACTCACTTTGTCCGATTAGTGAATCAATCTGACTTACATTCTTCTGGAATAGAACTTTTTGATAAGTCAGGGTCTTACTGTATATTTTCTTTTTTTACCATTATTTTAGTTTTAAAATACAGTGACATAAGCCAGACTTGGTGTGTATACCATAATCTCAGTATTTGAAAGACTGAGACTAAAGGGTCACCATGTGTTTGAGGCCAGCCTGGGCTTCATAGTGCATTCAAGGCCTGCCTAGACTGCATCTTGACTCCAAAAACATAAAAGTACAGGACATATTTTCCACATTTTCCTATAATTTATCATTAGTAATACAGGTACTGAAATTATGGGAATATTTCAAAATCATCATTTTGAATGAATCTTTTAGAGGAAATATCATTAATTCATGTACATAAAACTACTACTAATAATATTAAGGATGGTATGCTGATATAACTAAAAGAGATGGAAACAGAGAAGAGAGGAAAAAGAGAAAGAGCACGAGAGCAAGAGTGAGAGCGAGAGCCAGAGAGAGAGAAAGAGAGAGAGAGAGGTTATTCAAGGAAAAATGACATTTATTGGGCATAAGCAATACAGAGCAAGTATGGCCTGGAACCACGAACATATGGCAAGGCTGGTAAAGGGAAACATCAGAGGCACAATGACAAGGATTATATAAAATATATTAAAACAATTGTCCATATGGATGAGTAATAAAGTTTCCCAGAGCCGATGGAAAGTGGGGCCCCATCAATGGATAACAAAAGAGTTGCCGGACAGCATCTATAAAAAAGCACTGTTTCCATGTGTTGCAGTGGCCTTTGTGCAAAGATATAGTTAGGTAAAGTGTTGTATGATTGTCTTTGTTTTGTTGTCATGCATACATGCAGGAGATCCACTCCTTCACAACCTTCAAGACTTATTTTTCTAAGTTTATTTTTGTTAGATCCTGACACGTGACCTCATTTGAACACTGGAAAAAGTTTGACATGTCCAAGAAAACGTGACAAATGTCCAGGCTGCATTGGAAGACATTATAGCATTCAAGAATCATAGAGCATCAAGTTGCAGCGCATTGTTTATAAGAAAGCTCCTCATCTGGGCCACTTTCCTCAGTTCCTCATTCTAGAAAGCACCCAAATGCAACACTCTCCACCACAGTCTACACCTCATTAATCTAATGATTCACAGGCAAAGTTAAATGAATGACCTGAGAGGATGTGGACTTGCTCTTGTCAAACACCTCTGCTAATATGTGCATTCTACATATGCTGATGTGGGTAAGTGACAGGAGGTTAATTTAGGGATAGTCTTTCAAATCCCATCCACTTTCTTTGAATTTAAGTCCGGTTTCTAGGAGTTTGTTCTTCAAATCATATATTTACACATGGGAAAACTTAGGACAGTCCCTCAAGAAAAA